CATGATGACACTTAGACTAATGTTTTATTAGTAATTTATTATGAAAATCATAAAAGCAGGTTGGGTACTGTTAATGGGACATTCGTTATAACTTCAATTAATAAATTGTTAAATGATTAATTATGTTGATTTGTTGTTAATAAATGTTAAAAACAGAAGTATGATCACTATTTTTATTTGAAAGTCATCATTATTAAATGTAAAGTTACATTAAATATTGGGATGCACCGATACTGATACTGGTATCGGCATCGGGCCCGATACTGAGCTCCTGTACTCGTACTCGTACTCCTACTCGTTAAAATGCCCCGGTACCAAACGCCGATACCACATAGCATGTGATAAGTGCCATATTCAGACAAAGGACCAAATCTCCCAGATCCCAGAATTCAAATTTATGGCATTTTATCTTATTCATTTTTAGATAGAAATTACATATAGAGTGATGCAGGAATCATGATTTCATTATTTTATACGTTTGCATTGCACAGCTGTCAAGAGGAAGGCAGGAATAAAGAGAGAGGAGGGCGAGGGAGAGAATGAGAAAAGGGGGGGGGGGAATGGCACAACGATGTCATAATCACAATCGCCAAGCCGGGCCGTTGCCATGGAGACAGAGACATGTGAGCAGGCTGATGGCATTCACAGTGAGGGTGCTCCGACCTGCTGTTCACTTCAAGCACTGAGATAGAGGGAGTATTTTTAGATAAGAGATGCAGCGATCTGCGGAAGGGAGGAGTGACCCAGAGAGGAGACGGAGGTGTGAGAGAGAAATAAAATGGTGATGTGGTACATTAAATCTAGCTGTGCTGGAAAATCCTGATGGTTGCTGATTTTACCTTGTTTCTAGGTGGTCTAGATGGCTGGGTTTCAAGCTGGAGCTGGTGACCTTGGACCAGCAAAAAATCAGCTATCATTTTTCAGAAATCACCTTGACCACCTTAAGCAGATTTGGGCCAGTTTTTCCAGCAGATGCAGATAATATCAAACGTAATTCATGTTATGAAATCTCAGAATTGTATTTGGTGTTTTAAGAAATTAAATAGATGATACTTTATTTGTCTTGTATTCATTTCCCTGTCATTCCAAAAATGGCAATAGAAGCACCATAAACAAAGTCAATATGACTCATCTGCTATATTCCATAGCTGCGTCCCAAATGACGCACTACTCTATGCACTTAAATACTATGTACATATGCACTATGTACTCAACCATGTAGTGTATGAATTATATAAGGTTATTTTTGTCATTCATAAATGGAGTCTGATAGCCCCTCCCGCTCCGCTACGTAATTAAAGCTGTGACATTCAGGAACCGGTATCGAAGTCAAGGTATCGGTATCGATATCGAAATTATTTGAACGATACCCAGCCCTAGCCTTGAGTGCAGTGACAGTTGAGTGCATGAAGTGTCCAACATTGCACACTTCGTTTTTTTGGTTAAAAGTGCACTTTTTCTGTTTTGTATTTTTAGTGTTAACACACTAACTCGCACTATTTATGCTAGGAAACGTCATAGAACAGTATGTGATTTGGGATGCTGCGCATGTCTTCTCAAGCCAAACGATAGCTTTGTGTGAGAAACAGACTCATATTGAACTCATATCAGTGGGCTGTTAACCACTGTGTCTAAGTCATTGAGTCAGAAAGATCAGTTTAATAGCCAGATCATCTTTTTTGAGGAAGTTCTTTTGAGCTATTCATTTATAGTTCATTAATAGACTTTGATATGGTCAAAATTATATAAACTCTCTATAATTATATAGACTTTTATGGTGCTTTTTATTATTTTTTTAAGAGTCACTATGAACCGTCTGTTTATCAAAAAGACCTACACTAAAAATGCCTGCACACTGGTGCATTTACAAATTGATGTTTTATATTCATTTCATTAAATATTTATTTTACATTTCAGAATATAAAGCAATGTTAATTCAGCTCTTAATTTGTATATAACATATATTTTATATAATATATAATATTTGTATATAATATATATATAACAAAAAGTACCGATAAGAATACCGTTAAAGTACCGAATCGATAAGCAGTATCGGTAAGAGTAGTAATACCGTTAAAACCTTAACGATACCCATCCCTACATAAAATTTTCTGTTCCACAAAAGAAAAGGAAGTCATAATTGAAAACATTTTCATTTTTGGGGTGAACTATTCCTTGAAATGAAAGGAATGAGAGAATATAATGTACAGGGTGAGTAGATGAAAAGAGGGAGATGAAATAAGAGGAAGTGAGTGGTTGTGAAAGACAAGCTCAGTAGGATGGGGTGGGCTGAGGAAGTTGAAAATGACTAAACAAAAATGAACAGAAAAGAGAAGCTGAGGAAAAAAGTCAATGGCTGCAATTTTGCTGCATTATGTCCTCCTCTACCCAACTATGATGTGCACAATTTTCTGTAGTTTTTCCAAGAAAAACGAAGTTGACAGCAGCACCAGCGGAGAGATAGATGATCTCACTCAGTGATCACTGATCTTACTCAGCTACTGTCGTACATTTCTTCCATCAGCAGTTTTTGATATAATTATGATTTCCCACTGCAGTAGAGCACAGGAAGAGATTGAATCAGAAAAAGAAATGAGGGGAGGGTTTTTTAATCATTTATCTGTAAAACTCTGCCTTGTTTGAAATAACAGAGTTTATGTCATCAATCAGAATTTTGTTTGGGATGAATGATTAACTTCGTTATCTGTATTAAGCAACGATGGTGGAAGGAAAAATCTAGTCAGATTTCAACATGACTGTCATAAATATATTTCTAAACTTGGGCTGTGGTTTGAAACAATTTTCAAATCTATTATGTAATAAAATGTAAAAATCAAATGAATGACAAAATTTGGCAGTTATTGAATTAATCACATGATATTACTTTAATAATCATATTGAAGTAATATACGAGAAAGATGGCTGTGATTCGACCGTATATAAGCACAGAATCTTTCAATATTTTTGAACAAATCTGCTGAACGATTGGGTTGAGTGAATGTTTCAATGATTCACTCACCAAGACAGTTCTTGTTTTATTCCCAAATGGGTCTACGTTTTTGAACAAATCTGTTGAATGAATAATTCAAGCAACTCTTTAGCTTGTCACTTGAAAGAGTGGCTTCCTGTATTTTGCTCTATTTTGCTACTCTGCCCTCAGTGCTTATAACATGGACTTTAGAAAGAAAGAAAAAATATTTAGATCAAAGATGACCCTAAACAGGAAGCTGTTACCACACAAGTGCTGTCTAAAGACTCATGGGTAAACTGTGCTTCTTTATATAGCATGGCACTCTTTTTCCGGCTAAAAGTTGTAGTTCTCAACTATTATAAATGAACCCACAGTGATACACCCCATATACTGGTGCGGTTTCAGGCCCCGGTCTCTCTGACGGAGAACATGATGCATGACTGTATCTGTATAAACTGCTGCTTTAGCTGCACTGTTAGTGGAGCTCAGAGCTATAGGGGAAAAAAAATCTTCACTGAAGAAGATGACTTAAGCTCTGGAATGTTTTCCCAAAGGTGTGTAATTTCCACTAACTGTACCAAATGAAACTCTGAAATAATGATTGTCTCCCATTCACTCCATCTGTCTGACATTGTTTGGCGTGTTAGAGTAGCATGGCCCAGTTAGCGCCTGCTGGTAGATGTCATAACTGCACCATCTGGACCCAGAAAGCTTCTTTCTTCATTGATAGCCATTCAAATAGTTGTGTATTCTGATAAAACAATTGTTTTTGCTACTTATTTATTTATTTAGTTCATTTTATTTTTGAGGACTTAAAGTAATTAAATGAGACTGCACACGCTACATTTTTGACCCCGGCATGCCATCATGACATCATATTCAGATAATATCAGATAATTTGGCCTTTTTTATGACAAGGCAATGATATTTCAGCTTTGAAATGTCACATAATGTGACTCCCCAAAAATTTAACAATATTTTTGAATAATTAACTTTTTAGCTTCAAAATATTTTAAAATGTTTTATGTTATTTTTTTTTTTATTCATTGTTTTTATTATATTTTATGTTATTTCTAATTGTATTATCATAAATATATAATAATTTATTGAAAATGGTGTACATTTTTTCAAGTCCATGTGAAACCAACATTTCTAAGAAATTGGCACATGTGTTTTAAACTACAATTTTACAAGATCTTCAATCTTGTTTCTTATTAATCTGTGCTTTTAAAGTGACATGCATTAAATCCATGTCTGCTACAGGTTTAAAGGACTAGTTCACTTCCAGAATAAAAATTTCCTGATAATTTACTCACCCCCATGTCATCCAAGATGTTCATGTCTTTCTTTCTTCAGTCAAAAAGAAGTTTTTGAGGAGAACATTCCAGGATTTTTTTCATATAGTGGACTTCAGTGGGAAAATGAGATGGAGTATTTTGCTACCCTACCCTACCTTTTTGAACCAAAGTACACAGACGAAGAACTAACCGCGCGTGACTTTTTTAACGTGATTGCGTAATGCGTGAAGTCACGGACGCACATCGTAGAGATAGTGCAAGATGAGCATTTGTGGTTAAAAAGTATATAAATGGGTTTTTTTGGGGGTTTTTTTAGAATTTGACCGATCGTTGCACAAGATAAGACCCTTATTCCTCGGCTGAGATCACGTAGAGCCCTTTGAAGCTGCACTGAAACTGCAGTTTGGACCTTCAACCCATTGGCTGCCACTGAAGTCCACTTGTATTCCATCTGTTGTTGCTCAGTGAAACAATTTGCACTAATATGCAGCTTGAATTTAATCCAGGTTAGGAAACGATATAGGCCTAGACCCTGTCATGGTGACTAACTGTATCTGAACCCAAGTCTCCTGACAGCCAGTGTTAATTAATTCATAATTCTTACAGTGATTGTCACCTGCTCTGTTACTCTCAGTGTGGATGACTTACTGCGTCTCTTGCATAGAAAAGCACAGATACATTACATTATACAATACTCTATACATTAACCTTCTACTTTGTTTTGCCAGGTCTTCACCACATACTCGAACGAGGACTACGACAGGCGTAATGATGAGGTTGACCCCATGGCGGCTTCGGCCGAGTATGAACTGGAGAAGAGGGTGGAGAGACTGGACCTTTTCCCCGTCGAGCTGGAGAAAGGTACTCGACCCGCCGATGGAGTTTTCCTGACTAAACCGTGTGTGTTTTTAGAGCCTGTGTGGTATGTTGTCTTAGGGGTCCTTAACGTCCTGTTTCTAAACAAACTGGCTGAAGCAGCTTGTTTTGCTCTGTAAAGTAAGCAGCTTTTGCTGATCAGAAAATTGTGAGGGGTCAGGCCCTCTCTCCTAAAGCAGTCTGGCGGTTACCATAGCTACCATATGTGAAATATCACAGCGTAGACATAGAAGAGGTGTTTTCAGCTGTGTAGTTTTTATATTGCAATGGTAATATTTCAAGTTACAAAAAATCTGGACTAAAAAAAAGTCATTAGGAATAATATCTTTTCAAGAGGATTATTTGGAGTAAAATGTATTTATAATTGCTAACTAATTATAATCTTAAAATCTGCTCAAATGATTTACAGTCATAGGATTAGTCACACTAATTCCAGCTCATTATCCCAATATTTAGTTATTGCGTCTAAAAGCCTTAAAGCTCTTTGAAGTTTGCATTTACAATTTTAAGCTGTTATTTTTTTTGTATTTATTAATCTTTTGAATTAGCTTTTATTTTTATATTTTTGGTTTTAATTTCAAAGTTTAGTTTTAGTAATTTTATTATGTTTTTTTATTTTTGTTTAGTTTGTATATTTCCATATAGATTTAATTTATTTGTATTTTGTATTTAGCAGCTGTAGTACTTTAGTGCAAACAAATTGTCAAGGCAACATTTCTAATTTGCGCAAGTTTTTTTTTTTACTTTAAGTTTTTCATCAAATTTTTTAAATTTATTTATTTTAAATTTATATATATATTTAATATTTTATTTTATTTCACCTTTATTTTAATTAAATTTTGAATTGTATTTAATTGTATTTCATTATTTTAATTTAAAAATTGTTTTAGTGTTTTAATTAACATTAACAACACTGATTTAAAGAAAGTTTTGTTATATTGATCAAATGGGTAAATAACCGAATCAGTAATTTCCATAGTATTACAGTCTATAGACTTAATTTCCTCCTGGTTAAAAAGTTTTATCCTGGTTTTAAAGATTTCTGTCATCATTTATTCACTATTATTTATACATGCCATTGTTTATACATGTATAACACAAAAAGAGGCATTTTGACGAATGTTCACGCTGCTCTTTTCCACATAATATATATTATTATAGTATAGTGAGCAGGGGCTGTCAAGCTCCAAACAGCACCATAAAGCACCACTAATGCAGTTGATGCAGCTCTATCTGTTATCTGTCTATCTATCTGTCTATCTCTATCTGACGCTATATCCCACGTCTTCTGAAGCTGTGCGATGACTTTGCATGAAGAGCATACTGAAATTGAAATGTTATTTACTAAAAAATGCCATAGGTCTGAAATCCTGCTTGTACTTATGCGTACTAATGCTTAATGTTGTGTTTGTTTACGAAAAGTGTTAACTAATTGTGTGAACTGTTATTAACACCATGATTCCTTCCTGTCAGATAAAGACGGATTGGGAATCAGCATCATCGGGATGGGTGCCGGCGCAGACATGGGCCTGGAAAAACTGGGAATCTTCGTCAAGACAGTGACAGAAGGAGGAGCCGCCCACCGAGACGAAAGGTCAGTGAATTACAGGACATGAGTGGGATTTATATGGATTTGAGTGAAAATGAGAGTGAAAAGAAACTGGGATTCCTTTACGTTCTGTCAGTCTGTACTACCAGACTTTCATCAGTCTGCAAAATGGATTAAATACCAAAGTCACAGAGGAATCACCAGACATGCAGTGGAAACTGTGAGGCTGATGCTTTTAGACTGATATGAGACCACATTTAAGCTTTTGTCAGAATGAATAGTGTCCATGGTTCTGTTATTTATGAAACAGAAGTGTATCTGGAGTTACACTTGACCGAGTATTACTCAGAACATATGTGCATTGATAGAGGAATGGAGTTTATTGATCTATAATGAGTAGAATCTGACCTTGCAATGGCATTTGAGCTCTTCAGGCCCTGGAGTGAGTCATGGAGGTCACAGAGAAGCTATTTCTGTCTGCCAAGCTCAAGAGCTTTGAAAAATAACAGCAATTCTGCCTGGAGAAGCCCACTTTTGCTTATGACGTTCATTTAGATCGCAGGAGATTCAGCGAGTGTTAGGGATCTTAATAAAAACTCATAACGTTAGTTATTTCTCTCCGGCCTTGAGTCAGTATGGTGCATTGCAGTGGCTTCTTCCTCATTTTGGCATGACGGTTAGAAACAGTCCACCTGGAAGCCACAGGAGACAAAAAAATCTAATAAGCCAATGCTGAAATGAGCTGTCGCCACATGTGTGACAGAAGTGCTTAGATATTGAGTGGGACAGAATTTAGCGCTCAGAAATGACCTCATCCTCACTCTCTGGCACCTCGTTGGTGCTCCTGCTGTCTATCAAACGTACAGCTGCCTTGGCAAAAAGGCTGTTTTGGATGGGGCTGGATAGTTTGACTTGTTTTATGACTGAGAGGATCGATCGATCATTTGAACGGCTTGGAATACAAGAAGAGGTTTAGTTAAGTGAGGCACTGATTCACTGCTGCTGTTGGTCAGTTTTCAGACCCAATAAATGACTCCTTTGGCGTTGTTAGTTCCTTTACACGTATAGTGATGAGATTGATCAGTATCTTGGCCCAAGATCTAGCAGCCATTTTGCAGATGCACTTTTCCTCCCTGAGCTGTTATCCTGGTTATTTTTCTTCTTGGCAGGATCCAGGTGAATGACCTGATCGTGGAGGTGGACGGAACCAGCCTGGTGGGCGTGACCCAAAATTTTGCTGCATCGGTCCTCAGGAACACCAGCGGCACTGTCAAGTAAGGAAATGAAACAACATTTTCATAGAGAGTTCATTTAAAGGGAAAGGGGTCACTGTACTTAGACTTGTGCCGGTATTCGGTAATGCGATATATCACAATAATGAGTATGCACGATATTGTTATCGTGGGCACTTCAAGTCGTGGCCTAATGGTTAGAGAGTCGGACTCGTAACCCAAAGGTTGCGGGTTCGAGTCTCGTACCGGCAGGGATTGTAGGTGGGGGGAGTGAATGTACAGCGCTCTCTCCCACCTTCAATACCACGACTGAGGTGCCCTTGAGCAAGGCACCGAACCCCCAACTGCTCCCCGGGCGCCGCAGCAAAAAAAATGGCTGCCCACTGCTCCGGGTGTGTGTGCACTGTGTGTGTGTGTTCACTACTGTGTGTGTGCACTTAGGATGGGTTAAATGCAGAGCACTAATTCACCATACTTGGTCACCATACTTGGCCACATGTCACTTCACTCACTCACTCAC